ATTGCTTCTCATGTGGTTTTGCTCCAACCTGTCAGAATGCAGCCAGAACATATTCAACAATGGTTTCTTTTCCCACCTGTGCACTTGTCACCTCACAAGTCTTAGGGTCTATCTTTGGGGCCTTTTCTCTGATTGTATGCTGCCATTTTGTGATTTCCACTGAGAGTGCTATTCATGTGTTCTTTAATGATTAGCTGATAAATTTATCCACCCATTCTCTGAACTGCCTCTGTTACTCAACTGCTTATCCACAATTCAGTTGCATGAAGCTCAGCATGCTATGACCAAGCACTGGGAACTTGGTAGCTAAATGTATGACTAATTCTGTACCCTCACCAGGCATATATTCTAGCTGAACCAGACTCTTTGTAACCTTAATTACCTCACTTGATTCTGAGCAGCAGACCACACACGTTTCTACCTTTTATAGAGATCGCCAGTTTTTCTTTTTAAAGACATTATCTTTCTTTTCCTCAATCTGTTGGCTGTTGAAACATATTTGTAGATAGTTTTATCAGCTTTTGACATATTTTCGCCTGTGCTATCCTTGCTCACTTCCAATCCTCTGCCCATCATAAATTTTAACTTTATTTTCATTTATGGGATGTGGCATCATTAGCTGGGCTAGCACTTATTGCCTATCCTTAATTGCCCTTGAAGGCGGTGTTGAGCTGCCTCCTTGAACCTCTGCAGTCCATTTGCTGTAAGTAAACTCACAATGGGAGGAAGTTCTAGGCTTTTAACTCAGTGACACTGAAGGAGCAACAAGTATATTTCACGTCTGAATAGTATGTGGCTTGGAGGGGAATGCACAGATTTTGGCGTTCCCACGTATCTGCTGCTCTTGTCCTTCCAAATGATAGTGGTCATGGGTTTGGAGGATGCAGTCTAAGGAACCTTATAACTTATCCAGACCTCTGCATGTTTGTCTCCTACCAGATCCACTTCCTCAACATTCAAGTTCTTCCTGACCTACTTTGATTCTCTGCCCCACTGATTCAAATTTCAAGTTTGTATCTTTGTATCCTTCAATAACCTTGGCCTGCCTCCAAACTTTCTCTCTGACTTTTAAACAGGTTTAGCATCCATTTTGCATACTCAAAAGGTGCACTTGGCTTTTTTTTTTTAATAAATCAAAGCTGCTATGCAGATGAAAACGTTGTTGATCTTCAGGGATTTACACTCATGAAAACATGTAAATAATGGATTACTTTTCTTGTCATATCTGCTGAGGCAACCTCAATGAGATGATATCCTTTGCCTCCAGTATTTTGGTGTAAAATGTGTTCATAATTTATCATAACTTATGAAAGCCAACATGTTTGCCCAGCAGCTTATCTGCCTGTACCATTTGACCTGTCTAAATGTTATTATGGTGACTGAAGTGCAAATTTAATTTGTCAGGGTCAATGTAATATTCTTTCATTGTCCGGTTAAATTTCTTTCACTGCTTAAAGGTATTGACTGTATTTGTGTGGTACTTTTCCAGGATGCCATCTATTGACCAGTGATCACCAGTGAGTGTTCTTGTGATACTTAGGTCGTTCTAGCTCAGGAATGCAGACTAACAGCACCCTGAATCAGATAACAGTTCACAGACTTCAGATCAGAACTTTGGGATGCATGATTTAGGTAAATGCATTGTTTAAGGGATACTATCATTTTAGAATGCTCTTATGTAGTTTTGATCATGTTTTGTGCTGGAAAGGAACGGTTTGCTTCTAAATTGTGCTGCAGTGTAATCGTAGATATGAACTTTATAATAAATTTTTAAAACAAAAAAATGAAGGGAAAGAGCTGCAAACAGTGAGGTTCTTGCTCGTTTTGATCTGAGCCATAAAACGGCTTCAGGAGTGTGATGCTGTACCATTGAAAATCTGTTGCCAAGAGAGTGGTATGCAACAGGACCCATTTTGTTTTGGATCCAGATGGACTGTGATTACATTTCTGAAGTCATTGCATTTCATGATGTTTTGGTTTCAAGATGATTTAAATCTAGTTACAGATCCATATGACCCCAGTTCTTCTTAGATGATGGGCTTGAGTAAATCTGATTTTATAGTGTGGTTAAATATGGAACTTTGGAGCATTATTTGGCTCGTTTTTTACTGATAAAACTTTTAATATTTTTTTTCTGTCTCCTGACAAACTTCTCCAACACACCTGACCTCCTTATATCCACAGCTCATAAGCTCCGCGTGTCCGTATTGGTGCTGCAAATGTCCTAATTTGGATTTTTTCTATACACTGCCAGTCCTACTTTGTAGATCAATGAAGATAAGAATGATA